GCTCAGTAGTCAACACAGAAGACTTCTGAGGCCAAGCAGGGTCCCCACACACTCAGCAACAGTCTTGCAGCAGATACTGCTGGGTGTCCTCTATTCGGCTCAGTCCTACACTGTTCACCCCCATGACTCAGACTTGAGGACCTGACCACTTCCATGCCAGTTTTAATCCTTGGGTGTTTTATCTGCACTTCTGACAAACTGGCTATAAACTGGATTATTTTATTAAAGGAGCTTACAGATCTCAGGAAACATGTGCTTACACATGCAGCTTATGAAAAGGACTTCAGGGGATGCAGATGAAGGAATGTATGATCAAGGTATGGGAGAGCAGCTGGAAGGAACGGTCACCATGCCCTAGGTCCCTGTGCTGGTCTGCCTGGCCCTTGCCCAGGATGCTTCCTCACCATGACTTTCTGTGGTGCCTCAATATCTGATATAGTGAGTCCTCTTTGATCTTCTTTCTAAAAACTATCTTAGTTATTTTAGGCCTTTATGTTCTATCCAGAGTTTATGATCTCTTGGGTCTATATTAGTTTTAGTACCAAAAAAAGTGCCACAAACAGCTTATACGATAGAAATTTAGCAGGAATGATCCATAATTTGGCAGGAATGGCTCCTTCTGAAGCCTATCTCTATGACTTGTGGACAGCACCTCCACTCCTCCCTGTGTCCTCATATGGTCATCCTTCTGTGCATGTCTGATCTCCCCTTCTTAATGATACCAGTCCTTTGGATCAGGGCAGCTCCTTATGACCATAAATAAACTTAATTATTTCCTTAAAGGTCCTGTCTCCAAATACAGCCACCAGGGTTTGGGAGTCAGCATATGAATTTTACAGGGGTGCAGTTTAACCGACAGCAGGTTCCTTTAAAAATCATACCGAAATAATGCTCTAATAAAAAAAATGTGCAGGAATTTTTGTTGGTATTTCTTTGAATGAATTAACTTGTGGGTGAAGAATCATCACTTCCACAGTCCTGAGCTGTCCTATCCTCGTTCATGCCTCCATGCAAGCAGGTCTCCCTTTGTGTTCTCGAACAATGCCATCTGCATTGTAGAATGCTAATTGCACTGCTGACTGCTTTCTCATTCTGGGGAGAAAAGCTAGTGCATTTACTCAAGTCTAAGATGCAGTTTTGCCGACACAGAATATCCAGTTGATAACTACTTTAACAAGCAGAGTCAGGAGGCCAGGTGTGCCCAGCACAGGCGATGGAGCAGCCGCGACAAGCAGGGACCCAGAAATCCACCCACCACCCTGACTCTGCCAACAGCACCCTGTGGCCATCAGATGATGGCAGCACCCTGGGCACCATGTGATAAACCCAACCTGATCTTTTATTAAATTGGGAGCCATCTTGCCACAAAGCCATGAAAAGCTAATTTCGGCTTTACTATAAATTACTGCAAACTCTGAACCTGCTTGGAATGCCTGCCCGTGCCTTGAACTCACCCATGCCTGGCTCTCTGACCAGATAGCAGCCCTCTCTGAAACTTTAGTGACGCCTCATAAATATTGGCCTTCCCTGGCCAGACAACGACCCTCTCTGAGGCTCTAATGGTCTTCATAAATTCTGATGTTGGGGCCAGCAAAAAATGTAAACTACCATTAGTGTGATGCTGTCAGAGTTCTGTTATCTGTAACCCCCCTTTGTGTAACTTTCTGGGCTATAAAGCTGGGCTGTAGGAAAGGTGGGGCTGCTGTCTTGTTCCCACCGTTTTGGGAGGAAAAGGCAGTCCGGCCGGTCGAAATAATAAGCTTGCTTTAATTTGATTTTAATTGGAGTCAGTGGTCTTTTCTTGCGTCCTGGTCTAACACCATGTCCAGGCAGGACAGAAGGATACGGAAAGGTTGTTCAATCTCCGCACAGACCCTCTTCCTAGGGGGAACAGAGACCCCCTGGAATGCCCAGAGCCCTCTGCGTGGGTCTCAGGGGCCCTCCAGTGCTTTGTGCCCCTATTGCAGGTGGGAAGTCAGCGCCAGTGGGCAGCAGCAGTGGGCACCTGCCACTACTGACTTCACCCACTCCAAATACTGCCAGTCCTGTCTCACACAAAAGTGGTGAAAGCAAGGCCATTCTCATTTGTGTTCTCAAAGGAGTGCAGGTACAGCCGCACCACTGAGCAGGATGTTTGCTGTGGTTCTGAAACACAGCAGAGTAAAGAAAATTCATTTCCTTGACTCACTTTCTTGGCCTTTCTCCCCTCACCCCCACCACAAATGAGTGTTGGTTGAAATCCAATGCTTTGTCTTCCTCTTTTGAGAAAATTAAGAGAGTCTCTCCCTCTACCCACTGAGGAATGAAGTTGCTGGCATGTCTTGAGGCCAGACCTGAGTCCCACTGGATGCTGGCATGCTTCCTGCCGCACCACCAGGCACATTTTGCTATATTCCATTAAGAACTTTCATGTTCACAACTCAAAGTAGTCCAAGTGTTTTCCTTGCCTCCCTACATATCCTGAAACCATCCTACAATCTTCAGATAAGAGGCGGTGAGAGGACCTCTCCCGTGCATTTCCTGCTGGGTCACTAACCCTCCTGCCTCCATGTTCACCCTTGCACAACTGTCAGGGGTCAGAGCCCTCTCCTCTCATATTCTGTCTTTTGCCTGAGATTTCCTTAGCTTTATGACTCAATCCCTCTGTTCTCTTTTTTTTTTTTCAACAAATTGAGATTGAAAAGTTTCTTTTATTCTTTTTTCACAGCAACCTATTCTTATTTTATAAATATTGTATCTGCCGGTCATTCTAAGCCTTTGAGATAATGTATCCTTTAATGTCTGTGTTGAAGTTTCCCTCGGATTCCTCAAACTTCTTGTTCCACTGTTCCGTCTCTTCATCTTGGTCCAGCTCCTGTGTGTTGCGGTGCTCTTTGAATGTCTGAGAGGTTCTGGTTGTCATTTATGCTGTTGCCATAAGCTATGGGAGGTTTCCTGGGAACTCTATGTACTTGAGTAGGGCCCTGAGAATGAAGGGCAGGGAGCCAGGCACCGGGCTGGGCTCCTCCTCACTGCAGGTGACAGAAACCCAAATCTAACTGGCTTCAGTGGGAAGAGAAGTTTCCCTCACTAACCTGGATCTGCTGGGGCAAATAAAACTGGGTCACCTTGACCAGCTCCCTTCCTCTGCCCCATCTGCAGTAGCCTCCACTTCGCTTCTGTGGGTCCTAGAACTCAGGCTGCAGACCCTGTGGCCAGGAAACTGCATGCTTTTTGGAGCAGAGGTCATATGCCCCTCCAAGGGCTAGGGAGGGCACAGCAACAGACAGATCCCATGGCTGGCTCCCAGGAGAGCACTCCCAGAAGTGGTCCCCGGGAGCCAGGCCTGGCAAGTTTATCTAGTGCCATCAGTGATACCGCTGTTGACGGGTGATGAGTTCTTGCTTCCCCAATGTTGAATAACACCAAGAAGCACGCCGAGGCAAGGTCAGAGTAGAAATTAGAAGTTTATTAAAGGACAGCAGAAAAGACTTCTCCTGGAGGAAGAAGGGGACCCAAGAGGTGGAATCCGTGGAAGTGCGGTTGTCTCCCCTTTTTAGAGTTTTGGTGATGGAATGTAAGGGGGAAGGGTTAGGACACAGGTGGACCTAATTATCACCTTTTGGGATGGGATTATCACTTCTCTGGGATGAGCTATCTCCAAATCTGTTGGGGCTGTTGGTTAACACTTTTTTGAGGTGGACTTTGGCCTAGGGCCTTTTCCGGACTTCATTAACATTCCCTGAGTCATTCCCAGCATGGCCTCCATTTTAGATTTCACTCGGTATTAGACCCGATTTACCTAACTACACTGACTACCTAACTTTAAATCTGGCTTCATCAGGATACTCCCGGTGGAGCACAGGGTACCTGGCAGCATTTTCAGTGGCACTGCAAGAACAACAGGATGACCATGAGTCCCAAATTATGGTCAGGGGCACATCCCAGTGCCCATGAGCAAGTCTCACAGACCTGGGAAGGGAGCCTGTTGCTGGTAGGACTCAGAAAGTTGGGACCCTGGGCAGGCATCCCCTCCTCTCCTCCTGGCACATTTTTGTGGCCCCTGTGGCTGGGATGTCCACTCAGGTGGGGATAATAATGTGGCAGACGGGAAGGAGGAGCGTGGATGGGCTGGGGAGAAGCCCTGGGGAACGGGCATGGACGAAGTGGGCAGGTGGGGAGGGCACGGAGGGAGGGGGCTGCTGTGTTCCCTGGGTAAGACGCCATCAGAGACGCGGGGGTGATGGGCACAAGAGGGTCTTTTGTGGGCAAGTGAGGCGCTGGGGAGGGAGGCGGGGAGGAGAAGGAAGGAGGAGGGGGCACGGCGACCATGGGGGCCGGACCACAAGAGGGGCTGCGCCCTCCTCCGAGCCTGCCTTCTCTCCTCCCTTCCCCTGCGGTCTCCCGGGGCTGAGCCGCCGCCGCCGCCGCCCTCAGTCCTCGCGGAGGCCTCGGCAGCATCCAGCCGCGCGGGGTGGCCGAGGGTCTTCGCCCCCGCCCGCCTTCCCACCCGGCGGCGGCCCGGAGCGGCATCTGGGCAGAAGTTCCGACCCCGGCCCGCAGCGGTAAGCCCGAGGGGGGATGCGGGAGCGGACCGCAGAGGCTGGAGTGGGGGCGACTGCGCGGCCCCGGAGGGATGGAAACGCCGCCCAGACCCTCGCGCAGAGCCGGGTGGGCCCGTCCCTGTCCGGTTCCCCTCCCCCACCGCTGGGCCTCGGCTGGAAGGGCGGGGCGCGGGGCGGGGACAGGGAGGGAGATTCCTGGGGTCCGCGGAGTCCGAGCGGCGTTACCAACCCCGCACCCATTTCTCCGCGGCCACTGGCCCTCAGGCTCCGGAGATCCGAGATGGGGGATGCCAGGTCGGTCACATGCCCGTTCTTTCTCTAGATGCTGATCTGTGTTTGGCATCCTTCAGTCACGACCCCCTCCAACACCCCCAACATGGCTGCGCAAGGCCGGGGATATGAAGCCCCTACCGCTAGGCCTGAGCGCCCCCACCACAGGCGCTCAGCACCCCCCAATTCTGCGCCCCATCCTACCCCAGGCACCTAACAGTCCTGCCGTGTGAATCCCTCCCAGCCCACCCCATACCCTTCCCGGTTGGTGAACAGGACCCCAAGCCCGACCCCAGGCCTGAACACACACACACAGCCCAGTCCAGCCTCACCACAAGTGGTAAGCTCCCAGATCTTCACAAAAGCAGCTCCATCTGTCCTCAGGCTCTGAGCCCCTGTTCCCAGATCCTGAACCCTATCCTGCCCGGACTTGAGCCACTTCACCACTGTCAGCAAGCCCTGAATCCCCTAACCCCATCCTGGTTCCTAGATCCAAACCTCTGTGGCCTCAGGCCCTGAACCCCCTCACCCAACAGACTGGTCCCCAGTCCTGACCTGTATCTCCTCAGACCCTGAGCCTCCCTAGTCTCCAAGCTCTCATGTTCCTGTATCCAGACCCCGAGCCCACTGGTCCCAGGCCCTAAGTTCCCTGTCACCTCATCTCTGCCCCATGCCCTTGTGCCCCTTCTTGCAGAAGCTGAAGTCCTTCTGCTTCCTTTCTGCAGTTTTGCCAATGAAGATGAACTGGACAGCTGCAACTTGCTGGGCTCTGCTACTGGCTGCAGCTTTCCTCTGCGACAGCGGTGCAGCCAAAGGTGGCCGTGGAGGAGCCCGGGGCAGCGCTCGCGGAGGCCTGCGCGGTGGAGCACGTGGGGCCTCAAGGGTGCGTGTGAGGCCTGCGCCCCGCTACAGCGGAGCCGGCTCAACTCTGCGCGTGGCAGCAGCAGGGGCTGCAGCAGGGGCTGCAGCAGGGGCAGCAGCAGGGGCAGCTGCCGGCTTGGCTGGGGGCCCAGGCTGGAGAAGGGCCACAGGGCCAAAGGAGGGTGGCCGGGAGGACGAGGAGGACTGGGCACCCGGCGGCAACGGGACAGGCAGGGGTGTGTACAGCTACTGGACCTGGACTTCTGGTGCAGAGTCCACCCACCACCTGTGCCTCTGCCTGCTGCTGGGTGGTGCCCTTGGAGCCCTGGGCACCCTGGGGCTGCTCCAGCCCTAGGCACAGCTGGGCTTGGGATCCATATCATGGCCCCCAGCCCAGCCTTCTCCATAGGCCCCTCAGGCTGTCCCAGAGGCCAACAGCATTTGAACACTTCTTCCCTCCACTGCCCACAGTCCTCAGGCCCTGGAGGACCCCACCCTCCACCTAAGACTGTCCCAGCCTCCCCATCTCCCCACCCTACCATGGAATCAGCAGCACCCCCAGCTCCAGGATTTCAGGGTCCCCTGTGGCTCCTGCTCAGGCCTGCAGGCTGGGAGGTGTCCAGACCAGGCTTTCAGGCCACTCCTGTTCTCTGGCCTTCCCTGGACAGAAGAGTGTAGACAGTGTTGACCAACCAGGCAGAGGCCACCTTCAGAAAGGTTCCACTCTGCCACTGAAGCCCTGAGGATCGAGGACCAAGGGCTTCCCACCAGAGCTGGAATGGACTTCCCACAGGAGCAGAATATCAGCGAGTGAGGAGCATTCAACTAGGCTGCAGTGAGAAACGTCAGGTGCTAACCACTTGCCTAGGGCAGGTCCTGAAGATTTCACAGCACAGTAATGTTTTGGGGAGGAAAGCCATCCATCCCAGAAGATGCCCACTGTGGTTCTCAGAGCTCCCAGCAGAACATGCCCTGGGAGGCCACGGCAGCATCCCTCTCTGCCTGGCAGACTTCCCACAAACCCCTCTGCCAGGTGATGGTCTCCACCTTAGAGCCAGTGGGCCCTAAGGATCATTTAACTCATCTTGAGACTCATTCTGGGGAAAAACCCACATTCAAGGGAATTCCATTTTCTTGTAATTTAAGTTCACATCCAGTGATCACTCCGGGGACAGCAGCTGCCAATCCCACTACAGAGTCCCCCTGTGCTGTAAGTGGTCCCTACACTTCTGGTGAGCAGCAGCACCTCCAACTGGGCAGTCCCTCCCTCAGAGCAGATGGACCAGGTGGAGGCAGAGGGTCCTCAGTAAGGTTGTGGCACAGTGGCCGAGGACAGACAGGAGAGACCATGGTTCATCAGACCCAGGGCCACCTGCAGGTCTTTGGAGGAAGGCTGACCAAAGCAGTGGGGCCAAGGCTCCAGCAGGTATAGTCAGACAAGAGCAAGCCTGGGCTCAGGACAGAAAGTTGAGCTCCTTACTCCACCAAGGGCTATCTAAACATGGACATCTTGAGGGCAGGGGTACCCAGAACAGCCTCAAGATGCTGGCAGTCCTTACAAGGATGGCCTCCAACTCCCAAACACCTCATGCACAGACTGGCCCCTTGTGTCTCCAGGGCCCACCAGCACAGTGCCATGAGCCCAGTTCTGGGGTTCCCAGCTCTGCCAAGATGTCTATCTCTAAGCACCTGAGGCCAGCTCCGAGGTGCTCTTGTGAGACCCTCACCCACAGACAATCTCTTTCCAGGACTTGCCCTCACCCTCGGGACCAAAAAGCCTTTGGGCTTAGCCAGAACAATGCTGAGACCAGCATCTCTCCATCCAGCACAAGGCTCTGGTTTGGGGATAGGTTTTAAGGCTACTGTCAAGACCTGGGCCAAGTAGTCACAGGACACTACTCCTTGCATCCTGTCATCCACACTGCCATTGCTCAGGGCACGGCCAGCCCCGATGCTCCTCCATACCTTCCAGACCAAGCTGGATGCCACCTAAGACCAGCAAGCCAAGTCCAAGCCCGCCGATCTCTCAAAAGCAGACGAGATCCCTCCATCATCCAGTTTGGTACAAGGAGACCCACCAAAGCCCTCTTGGCTTCTCAGATGCCTCCCTGACAGGCTGCACTGGACCAGACCCTGGCACACCATAGCGCATGAGTGTCAAAAGGTTCCAGAGGCAACGAAAACATTTTTCAATGCTTGCTTCACACCAGCCTCACCTCAAGTGTGTTTAGCTTTTCGCACAGCCAAGGGCCCTTGAATACCTCCTCAGCAAGACACAGACAATGCTAAGAAGGCACCCTCAGAATGGGTCAATCATGTGGCAATTGCAGTGGGAGGCACCACTGGAAGACCAGCCCCTGGGAGCAGCTGCCCACAGCATGGAGAGAGTCGGCTGAGCATCAGAGACTGGCAGATGCTCGGGCAGCTGTGGGAAAGCTAGGCACCACCAGACAATGAGGTCAGAGCTACTCACCAGGTCCAGGCTCGCCAGCACCTCCCGTCTGCGCTAACCCAACCACCCTGCCTTCTAGAATGCAGGCTGCTGACAGCAACATTCCCTACACAACACTGGGATGGGTCCTCGGCACCTCCTCTGGGCCCCCCTGAAGAAGAGGGCCACTGTCCCCTTGGCTAGGAGTTGGCCATCCATGACTCTCTGGCCTGTTGTACAGCTGAGCCATGGGCCTGTGGCCTCCTGAAAGCGGAGCACTGAGGGGGAGGAAATCCTTGGGTTCCACTACTCCGAACCTCCATCCATGTTTATGTATTCATTTAATATCAAAGTTAACCAAAATAAACCCCTGCACTGGGAATAAGACTCTTGGTCACTGTAGGGCCATAGGACATCGAGAGCCCCATTCCTGACCTGCCTGTTCCAGCTTGCACTGGTGAGAGGGACTTCAATATGTGGGCCCAAGGTAGCATGGGTGTGCAATGAAAGAGCCAGAAGAGAGAGATCTTTTCATCCAGAACTCTAAACATTACAGATTACAGCTTTAGCTCCTCAAGACAGCATTAGCCTCTCCCTAGAGACACTAAACAGGAACCGCCTCACCAGGCCAGTCACGCAGGCCTGCTCCATAGGGCTGGCCAGGCCACCGTGAGTGGGAAAGTGGGGCCCTGAATCAAAGGGACCAGCGTGGTTGCTTCTGGAAAAAAGTGGGAAGTCGTAAGCCTCAAACGCTCTGTCCACTTGAGGTCCGGGAAGCCATCTGCCACGCAGTAGGCGCCGAGTCTGTGTCGGCAGGGGGGCCGTCCTGCAGAACATCACGGTCCAGCATCACCGGGCCAAACAGCCCACTGCGGAAGGTCCGGAGGAAGTCCTGGGCTGCCGCAGAGTAGTTGGGCTGGACGACGTTCACATCCCCTAGAGACAGTGGGTCTGATGAGAAAGGGTCCTCCAAGAGGGATGGCCCAGCCCCAAGACAGTCACATTGGGCATCAGTGAGTAAAGCTCAGGCCAGGCCTGTTCATAGACAAGAGCATAATGTCCGCTCAGCACCACCCAAGGACAGGGGACAGGGCCAGTCCCACACTCTGGAGCCTGGACTACGAGCTCCTTTCTCTCTAGATACTTCAATAGCTCCTCTGCCCAATCCCCAACCCCAGGTCAGCACCACCACCCATGCAAGTTCCAACCCCCACGTCTCCCTCCTCCTGCCCTCCTCTAGGGACAGCCAGGGAACACACAGACCGAGTGGCACAGCACAGCTGAACTCACCGGTGCCTGTAAGCACTTTCACCTTCCGGGTCTTCCGCAGCCGCATGGCCACTCTCTTCAGCACATGCTCAATGTCGTCAGAGGCGCCGTCCAGGCCATAGTGCTGCACGTACCTACGCACAGGCCACAGCCACATCAGACCTTGGGGCCTGCTGACCACAGCCCAGAGCAGCCGGTGGCCAGGCTCCTGAGCATCCCAGGACGAGGCTCAAGAATTCCTTCAGGAAAGAAAGATCCATGGCCCAACAAGGTGAGATCCAAAGTCTGGTACCTAATAACACTGACCAGCCTGCAAAGCAAGTCAGATCCCAAAGGAGAGAAAACTGAAGTGGACCCAGAAGTGGCAGGTATCAGAATGTACAGACTCACATTCACGTGCCATGTGGTTACAAGAGCTGAGGAACAGATGATGAGAGAAGGCAGGATCTGAGCTTCGAGGGTCCTGAGAAGCAATGAGATAGGACGAACAGCAGACCAGACACCACAGAAGACAGTGACCAAAACCCAGCGAGGACCCAGACAGGACCAGCACCTCAGAGCAAGCAGCACACAGGCCAAGTGCCCAGCAGCTGGCACCCAAGCCCTGGTGAGCAGGAAGAAGGCAAAAGAAACACCGAAGAAATAACACCGGAAATTAGCCAAGTGAAACAAACACATGAAGTCACAGACCGGAAACCAACCCACCAAAGCACAGAAACACGAAGACGAGCACAGCAGGGCCCACACACTGCTCAAGGAGTGACCAGGAGAAGTCACTCAAAGCAGCCAGAGGAATATGAAGACAAAGAACAGGAGGGCAGGAAAACCAGCACGAGGCTGGGCCACCCTTCCCACCAAAAATCTGCCCACAGGGAAAGCATCTCCCTGTGAGGTGAAAGGAGACAGACCACAGGAGCTAAAAGGACACACCTCAGCAGAACCCTGCCCTGAGAGAGGGGCCAGGCAGACCTGCCCCACAGAGGGAGGGGCCAGGCAGACCTGCCCCACAGTAAAGATTGAGGAAAGTCCTTCACACACAGTGAAAGACCAGATGAACTCAAGAAACAAGCAGCACCTTGAACAGCAATGTGCTAGGCAAGCATATAACGTGCTCTTAAAAGATGACTGTTTATGCAAACAGAAGAGAAGGAGAGTGTGTGCAGGACTTATCCAACATGCAATGGTGGAATGTGTGATGACAGTGGCAAGCTCATCACATGAGGCAAAGGGCCTGCCTGAGTGCTGCAGGTGACTCTTGTGACTCCTCAGACTCCTGCACACCTGAAGCACAAGACCACAGGCACCAGACTAACAAAAGAGATGGAGCTGGATGTCAAGAGGCAGAAAAGGGAGAGAAGACACAAAACTCATGGGACAACTAGAAAACCAACAGCATAACACATTCAAACCATCAACGATGACACAAAACATAAATAGTCTAAATATCTAATAGGAAAGGTAGAGACCGCCACATTGGATAAAAACAAGGCCAAACTCTACACAGCCTATAAGAAATGCACTTTTACTATAAAGACAAATGCACAAAGTAGAATGGTGGGCAAGGATATACCATCATAATACCAATCAAAAGAACCTAGCATTCTGTGCTGTGGACAAGGGGCCCAGAACAGAGAGCTCTCTGAAGATGAAGAAGCACTTCACAACACCCTGCACACTACTGCACCTACAACAGAGCCTCAAAATGCACAATGCCAGTGCAAGAGGACTCCCAGGGAAGCAGACTGGTGTGTGAGGGGTGAAGACTTCAATGCCCTTCTCAACAATCAGCAGTACAGATGGAAGGAAAATCAGCAAAGTATAAATGAAGAAACAACAAAGACTGAAATCAGTGAAGTAAAAAACAGAAAGATAACAGGGAACGTCAATGAAACCAAAAGCTGACTCTCTGGAGATTAAATAAAAGTAAATCTCTGGCCAAGATCTGCAAACAACATGGTGTCCACCCACAGGTGACTGGATAAACGTACTACAATGTCTGAACACTGAGCACCACTTAGCAGATCACACAAAGATAAATTTCAAACAAGCCAATTGAAAGAAAGGCATCTTTTGTTTGTGCAAAATTCTAGTGACATATCTAGTGACAGACAGCAGAGGGCTGCCTGGGCACAGAGGGCAGGAAGGGAAGACTACAAAGCACAATGGGCAATGGGAGTGCCGTTTTCTTGATTATCGGATGGTCTCAGGTGCATTCATGTCAGACTTACCCAATTTTTAACAATGTGCAGATTATCACGACTACAGTATCTGTGTGCTGTGTCTAGAGCCGCACCTGGCCAGGACAAGCAAGCAGGGGCTGCCCACCCTGCCCTGCCCTCACTGCCACTCACCCAAACAGCTGGTGTCGGTTAAGAGTGTAGAGGAGGTAGTCGGCCATGGTCTCCTCCCCGACCAGGTGGTCCAGCACAGTTCCTGGAAGATGGCAGCAAAGGTGAGCACATCCAACAGCTGGCATCTGTGTCCCCAACAAGCTTGTGCCCCTCCCAGTCTCAGCTGCTACAGAGACTCTCCACAGAACATAGCTGTCATCCTGACCTTCCTCCCACTGGGCTAAGCCTTTGCTATAAGGTCTGACTGCCCACATCTGTCAAAGGGGAGAGTGAAAGTCACTCTCACTGGGCAGGGTCAGATAGCAACCAGCAGGCTTTGCCGTGAGCTAAGCTTTGAGAAGCATCTAGTAGCAGCCAGGGCAAAAGTGGAACAACTACTCCTGCTGAAGGTCTGTGACAAGGTCAGCGTGGGGCACTCGAGGTGGGAGGGAGGGCACCAGGCTCAGCTCACCACACAGGGCCAGCTTCAGGCCCGTCTCCACACTTCCAATCCGAGGAGCTAGCACCCCAGGGGTGTCCATCAGGAATATCAGAGGCCGTTCACACACCTATGTAGACAGAGTTCACAGTAAGGCCCCACAGCAGCCTCCTGATGGGCTGGCCCCACACACTAGGCCTCAGAGGCTCCATGGGAGGGCCCAGGAGCAAACCCATCCCCAAAGGATCATCATTTTCACCAAGCACAGGGTGGCCAGAGGTTTTAATTCACCCGATTTGGAGAATAAATAAGAGCACTAGGTCGCATGGAGAACAAAAGGGAACGTGTGGAGAGTGGGCTCTGCTCTTTCCTGATAGTGGGGTGCCCTGGCGGCTGGGCAACAGGACAGGGCAGTGCCTGGCACAGGTGAGTAACCGGTGGAGATGCAGTGGAGTGTGGGAAAGGACGGTCATGGGCAGGACAAGGTTGCTCAGCAGCACCAGGCAAGCACCTGTGCCTGGCCACAGAGGACCCACCTGGACTCTGGACATCACAGCTCTGGTGATCCCAGGCTCACCACCCACCCTGGCAGCTTTTCCTGTAAGACAGAAGGGGGCTCTTGTGTGTTCAAGACACACAACTACAGAACGCGCGGTCAGACACACGTGTAACTAACCCATCTGACAAGCAGAATGAAAACCCCAAAGGCCAAACGACCTTCCCAGGGCTATGATTACCCACATTTAGCCCCAACAGCTCACGCAGGGGCTCTTTTTAAAAGCCAGGTGCAGGGGCCACAAGGCTTGACAAGTGCCCAGGACTCATTCCCCAGAGCTGGGAAGGCCCACAACAGCAAGACCTGAGCTGTCCCTCATCATGCCCCACCCTCCTGGACTTGCCCACCTTCCAACAGCCCACAGCAGGCCTGACCAGCCTGCCCAGACTCGGAATACCAAGGCCACTGCACAGGTCCTAGCTGAGGGCACGTCCCAAGGACTGCTCTACCCACTGCCAAACCAACTCAGGAGTAAAAGGAGCAAGAATCCAAATAAGCGGAGACACAGCAGAGGACACGGAGCCCCAGGAAGAAAGAGTTCTGACAGGAGCTCCAACGCAGTGCACACGGGCACTGCACTGCTGATCGCATGAGCCAGTCAGAGGAGGGCTGCACTGACACAGACCAGGGCTGCGGGGGTGGGGGGACCAGGAGCTGTCTTGCTGTAAGTCTGGGGACAGTGAGGATAGCTGAATAGCACTAGGAACACACTTAATGCCACTGACCACAAAAGGACAGAGGAAAATACACAGATGACTGGCCAGGCATGGTGGCACAGGCCTGTCATCCCAGCAACTCAAGAGGCTAAGGCAGGAAGGTTGTAAATTCAAGGCCAGTCTGTAACTTAGCAAGGCCCTAAGCAACGTAGCAAGGCCCTGTCTTAAAACAAAAAATTTAAAAAAGGCTGAGGGCTGGGATATAGCTCAGTTGATAGAGTGCTTGCCTCACACGCATAAAGCCCTGAGTTCAATCCCCAGCACCAAAAAAAAAAAAAAAAAAAGAATAAAGATGTGGCTCAGTGGTAAAGTGCCCCAGTGCACCCCCCCAAAACAAACAAACAAACAAAAAAACACAGATCACCAGGTAACTAAGACCCTCCATTAATGCCCAACATTACCTCTGGAATAATGGTTCAGCATGGCTTAAAGCTCTCAGATTTTATACTGTGATTAGATTTGTTAATAAACACTGTAATATCACATGAACAACAAGATCAATACAGTTAGATCCAGCGTGAAATTTTAAAATGGTCCGTCAAGGCACTGGAATGAGCGCAGCAGGCCATATTTTTATCAAACAAGAGGATGAGCAGGAGACCAGTGCTGAGGGCTCAGGTTTCCAAGCCAAGTCCAGGAAACCTGGGATGAGAACACCCCCCACACCTTCTACCTACAGCAAGTGGAATTATCTGCACCAAGGGGTTTAACAAATGAAAAACCAAAACCACAAGTTTAGAAAACCATCCCACATGAAAGCCATTAGAAAACAAATCCAGTGCAACAAACAGCTGTCCCCACACTGCCCTCTCCGTTGCTGTCCTGGCGGAAGAGCCCACGGATGCAGAAGGGCCAATTCAGCAGCAGGGGGCACAGGCTCACCTGTCCTGAGGTGCTGTCTCCTCAGGGAGTTGATGAGGGAGGACTTGCCCACGTTGGGAACGCCAACCACCAGGATGCAGTAGTCCAGGTTCTACAGGGGCAGGGAAGACCCTCAGCCCCATCCTGCCCAGGCCGTGGACTCAGCCCAGGAAGGAGGTCAGGCAGAGACCTACCACCTGATGGGCCACCCAGCCCTGCTGGCTGAAGAGACCCAGGGGAAAGGCCAAGCCTCCTGCTTGGGCACTCCCCGTCCTCTCACAGGCAGGAAAGGGCTGCCCACTACCAGCTCTGGGCCCCACTCACCAACCTCTGACCGGTGGTAGCGGTAGCTGCTCCCAACCAGTTCTATGACCTTTGGGATTATCTGAAACAAAAAGCCATTCATTTCAGCCTGACATCCCCTAATGCACGCACCCCCCCACCCCCCACCCCCCCCCCCCGCAGCCACCTCCACACACCAGCATCAGGGACCCTCTCCCTGCCACTCTTCAGGAGACACGGGCCTCACACACGGACTCCAGCAGCTGACAGGGAGGCCTGACCTGCCTGAATTCCTGAAGGTAGTACTCTCAAGTGCCCAGATCACAGACCCAGAAGCAGACTGCCCCCACCCCTACACTAGGGAGGAGTAGGTGGCCCCCCAGGGGGCTTCTAGGACAGCTATACTCTGGCTGACTGCCCACATCCCTGGAAAGCAGAAGCCAACCCCAGGATCTTCCCCAAAACTGCTTCTTATAAAATAATGTGACAAAGCAGAAACGTGTGAGCAGAAAAAGGCCTACCTGCTTGATGTTCTCATCCTTTATGCAGTTTGTAAAAATGACATGTTTTAGGCCTTCTCCTGCTAAGTGCTGCTGAATTTTCTGAAAGAGATATTGCCATTTACATATTAAATGCAAATATGGGTGGCACAATCAAACTCCAGGACTGAGCTCCAAGGAACAGTTGGCCAGGAGCACCGTTGCTCAGAGCCACTTCAGCTCTGCAGGCCACTGGGGTGTGCCAGTCACCTAGGAAAATGAAGGCACTGCTGCTGCTGCAGCAAGGAAATTTCCATGCTACTAACAACTTTTTAAAAATTGCCTTGAATTTAAGACCGTGACACCACTTAGCAAAGGTCTCAACCACAGAGCAAGAAAAGCAGAAGCAGCACCTCCAATAACATTTCCAGCCTCCACATTTCCTGGTCACACAGAAAGTACCCTCCCACCTGTGCCCAGTTCGGCTTGGCTCCGGAGAAACCGGACCTCCCACACCTCCCCAAGCCCTTCCAGTTTCCAGATCACTGTGTGTGCTGAAGGCAGCCAACCACAGAAAACCTAGGGTCAGCTTGGTGAGTGCGGACACCTGGGGGTGCTGCAGCCATCAGACCTCCAGACTAGACTAGCGATGTCCAGAGCTGCAGGCATTGGCCTCATGCAGCTTCTCAAACTTAATTAGAACTAGGTAAGACGTGAAAGTCAGTTCCTCAGCTGCAGTGATCACTGTTGGCCAGAGGCCACCACGTGGGGCAAAGTAGACACAGCACTCATGGTTTCAGAAGGGCCTAAGGGAAGGCTCAGCTGTGGCGGCCTCCAGTGGCACACTGCCACCTCCTGGGGAAATGGTGTCCATTCTGAGCATTTGCAAGTAGACATCCAAGATCAGGATGCCAAGCACACTGTGCTGGGCAGCACTGGTCCCTGTGATGGCTGCAATGCCCCCAGACATCCATGCTCACCAGCCTGAACCCAGGTTTTCTGCTGCCACCTGCCTTCTGTACACCCTGTGATCTAGAGGGTAGAAGGACTGGGGGTGGGGAAGGCAGGCCCAGAGTAGCTAACAGATTTCTCCAGAGCTAAGCAGAATGGGGACAGAAGGCCCAGGGGAAAAGGAAACATGGAGACTGGAAATATTACTGGAGGTGGTGCCTCTGCTTTTCTTGTTCTGTTGTCAAGTCCTCCTGAAAAGCACAGATGTGGGCTGGGTTGTGGCTCAGCGGTAGAGCGCTCGCCTAGGACATGGGAGGCCCTGAGCTCAATCATCAGCACCACGTAAAAATAAATAAATAAAAGCAAGGTATTGTATCCAACTGGGAAAGAAAAAAAAAGCAGAGCTGTTTCTGAGGCAGAACCCGCCTAGAGAGATAACACTGAGCCTGGCTGATGATTCTGAGTCTGTCCAGCAACATCTGTGTCATGCTCTGCAGGCATCTTTTGGAAAGGCCCTCACCCGCTGCTCTGTGAGGTCTGCCAAGTCCATCTTATTGAGGACCAGCAAGTGAGGCTTTAGTCCAAGGGTCTCCTGAAACAGAGGGTTGCGGCCTGAAAGTGGGATGTGGCAACATTAAGGCAAAATTTCCTCAAAGCTTTACCAGCCCATCAACCTACTTTACCTTATCTACCTCCTGTCAGTAAGAGCTGAAGGCAGAGGACAAAGCCCTATCTCAGATCAGGAGCCAGCCCAGTCCACTCTCCCACCCTAGCAGCTGCCAAGCCAACCCAGATTCTGCCCTTCAGGCTGAGGACAGGGTGTACCTCCTGCAGTAGCCAGGACAGGCAGTCAGCAGGGCAATGGCTTCACTCAGCTTCCCAAATGGGAAACCAGTTCAGAGGGAGGTTTTATAAGCAAGTTACTATTTAGCTGCCAAGACACCCATAGAATACCTCAAAGTACCACCCACCTATGGCCACCAAGGACTTGGGGGTCGATGCCACCCTACAGGAGGGTAGGCCTTCTCCCAGAGATCCCCAAGGAAGATGCTGCCTTCTCAGTACTGCCCTCAGCCAGGGACTCTGGGACTGAACGTGAGACTCACACAGGCAGGCAGCAGCTTCTTTCCTCACTGTGTAGAGACCCCTGGCTCTCCTAGTACCTGTCTCTCCCAGGGAGTGTAGCTCGGAGAGTCCAGAGGCCTCTGACATGCCCTAGTGAGGCTTCCACTCTAACCGCTACCTGCCACACAAAGGGACCCTTCCTCAGTGCTGACCAAGTCTCTGCTCATTCAGTCATCCACCAGCCTCCAGCACTCTCTCCCAGGATGTTACTATCCAATACAGGTTTCCTGCCATATCCTAGATAAAGTAGAATGTTCTAGAGATGAAAGGTGGAAAAAAGTCCTCTCATCACACACACTAAATAATGACTACGGGTTTTATTCATTTTTTAAATAATCAGACATAGGAACAGGAATGTAGCCCATTACAGCACTTGCCTAGCATGTGTGAGGCCCTGGGTTCAATCTCCAATACTGAAAAAAGGTTAAAGTTTAAAGAACAATCAGACATATAATTGCCAGTAAACACCTTTGACCAGCCTGTCAGTAAACTGATATATATTTACAGCCCAATTCAAAAATTCCTGCTATTTTGTTACTCAAGTTCCAACCAGCCTTTGAGCCCTGAAAATGGTCATCCTCCACTTCTACTTCCGGAGACTCCAGGCAGTGGAGGTCAGGCACACATTTGCACCTGGCTATTCCTGGGTGGTCCACAGGGACAGGCCCATGGGGCTGGCATCCCCAGCTTTTCTGGGGTTACACAGGCAGGTTGGTGACAGCTGGCAAACACCACCACAGGAGAACCTCCACTCTTTTTTCAAAAGTGAGGAAATCAGGTCTGAGCAGTACAAATTAACGAGCACCATCACCATGTCTTGTCAACGACTCACTCAGGTAAGAGGAAAGCCCGGGTTGGCAGGAACCTTTAATCTCAGCTTTCATATCCTACCTAGAAATTTCCATGCGGGGTACCCTGGAAAGCCTGAGCGGCCCACTGAGGCACCAACACCGCAGGTGTGGAGCTTCAGAACACATGTGGCCTGGACCTGGCAACACAGCATGATCTGAAAGGGGGCCTGGCAACCGCGTGTTTAAAAACCTCCGGGTAATTCTAACATATAAAAGCGCGGATTTAAATGGCAGTAAGGACAAGTCAGGCCGCTGGCTGCTGCAGGACGGGACTAGGGCCAGGGCCGGGCAAAGGTGGGCGGAGACCAGTACTGCCCGGGGGCTGTCTCAGGCAGTCTGGCTCCTGACTGCGTGCGAAAGGATATCCGGGCGTCGTGGACCTCGACGACGCAGTCCACCAGTTTCAGGCTGCTCTGCATCTTCTTCAGCCCTGCAAAACACAAGAGCACTGAGGCGGGGCCGTGGGCTTTCAGAGGGGCAGTTTTATAAGGCCTGTCGGGGAGGACACCCGAGTGTCGCCCTTGGTGGAGTCAGGTCCCCACAAGTCCCTGAGCCGGCCGCACAGGGCCAAACTGGGAGGACAACTGGAGACTCCGAGACGGGGCACAGAAGCGACAGCGCTGCCAGACCGCAGCGGGAAGCCCTGCGCCTGGAGCGGCCCGCTGCTCTCCCGCCGGACCTCACCCTTGGCCATGTGGCCCGGGAACCAGCGCGCCACGTCGCGGCCCTGCAGGGGGAAGCACTCGCGCCAGGCGGCCCCGGCGGCGCGCAGCGCGACCGCGGACAGCCGCATGGCATTGCGTCCCGGAAGCGCCCTCGGTGCACAGCCTCCGCGCGGCCCGCGACCCTGCCACAGCTGCGCTTCCGGCGCTCCAGGGCGCAGCGCGGTGACGCATGCGCACACCACTGTCCTGGCCGAGAGGAAGCCGTACCGCGGGCCCCCTTGGCGGGGCGGGGCAGGGCGGGGCGGGGCGGGGTGGGGTGGGGCAGTTCTCGCTCAGGTTCTGGGTTTTGTGGGATTTTTCTTAAGCAATTAAGGCACGTGTTAACCCTAGTTAGATTTAAGAAGATCCAGAGATTGGGATGCATCTCAGCGGTGAAGCTCTTGCCTGGCATGCTCAAGGCCCCGAGTTCTATCACCAGCACCGCAGAAAATAAAATTAAAAACTGAAAAACCCCAGTTGCCCCTTAAGCATATTCTGAGTATATATAGCAAAACTTCGTGTCAATGTTTGGCCCCTTCTTACAGACTTGCTTTAAAACGCTATCATACTTTCAACTTACCTTATACACTTAAACAGCTCCACTTCTTTTTCAATACTCCAAGTTTAGTGTAACAATGCTTCCAAACGCTGACTGCAACCTTGCTAAATGAAACCCATTAATACAATGAGACTTCAGTGCTCCTCGTGGCTGCAGGACAAGATGAGCCTGACCAGGCTGCCCCCATGTGAGCAGGCCAAACCACTCACCCCAAAAGGGCTACAAGAGCCTCCCTCCAATGGCATCATTGAAACAACGTCCTAAACACTACACATTCTCAGATTACCATGGTATGATGTTATGATGCTTAACCTCTAACACTGAGCTCCCAACGCTGCTCCTGGATTGGATCTGGGTCCCCACAGTACACAGCAGAGCCCTTCCCAATGAGGCATTCAGAGCCTCTCTTTCCTACAAAGAGAGGGCAGCCTGTGTCTGTGAAAACAGAAATGTTTCCTCAAGGCATGTGAACTGATGAAACTTCAAAATCAACAATGAAGATCTTTGCCCTCGAAGAAAGCTGCACTTTCATATCCTGGGACCATAAACTATAACAAAGCATTGTTGAATGTTTCCCACACCAGTCTGATTGGCAGGTGCCTCATGCAGCACAAGGCAGCAAGGACTCTACAAAGCACTGGATATATGGGGGGAGCCTGAGTAGTCTCTGGGCCATCTAGGGGTCACCGCACGCCCCGGAGGACTGATAAACCTAGACATGAAGTATGAGAAAGGAAGGGCCAGGCAGAGCTGGGCTGGGCTGCAGAGGTAAGGGCATGAGCCTGGCAGCTCTGGAGGGGTGTGGCCTTGAGACCTTCCTTCCAGATTCTGAAACCAAATGGGGATGGACAGACTGTCCTGAGGTACCTAGGCCAGGAGCTCCCCCACACAAGCCCTCCAGCAGCCCCCCAGCCTGTGGGGGTGGGGAGCAGACTCCTGATGTTCTTGTGCCTCCCTACAAAGTGCCCCCCCCAGCTATACCCACCTGCCCTCTGGCCATAGTGCTCCAGGAGAAATGTCAAGAGCCCATGGAGCTCTGGTGCAGGATAGTTACTCAGTCTGAGCTTTCTGTCTCTTCTGCTGTGAAACAGGAGTAGCATGGCTTATCCCCCAGAGTTGCTATAAGGATGCAGTGAGACCAAATAGAAAGCACCCAGCAGATCCACGCCAGTACTGCCTAGCTCCCCAATACCCTCCCCATGCCTACTGCTGTGCTTGACCAACCTGCTCCCCCATCTTCCCCTCCTCCAGAAAACTTGGGACCTCCAGGTGAGGATGGGGTGCCTCATGCACCATCTATCTCTCCAGTTTCTCGCCCTTGCCCAGCCCATGTGCAGAGGGTGCCTGATGCAGCATCTTTGATGGGTAAGGTGGGGTGGCTCGCCAAGCACATTGTGGTCCCAGATTGCAGCAATGGGAACTTGGGGAGCACTTTAAGATGCCAGGGATCAGGGGCCAGGGGCAAGGGTACCCAGGGACAGAGTACACACTAGGGGCCAAAGGATCTGAGACATGGCCCCAACCTGGCCTGCAGCACAGCAAGAACAAAGGTGGCAGTTTCTGCAGCCCCAGGTACAAGGACAACTCTAGACAAAAGGAGGTGGCATTAACTGCTTTATGTACATAGCATCCCCACTAGCAGTGGCATCCAGTGACTTCCAGATCAGTCCAAGCTCAATCCTGGCAGGTTCCAGTGACAGACATAAGAAATGATGTGATCTAGTTATCCAAAAAGGACTGTCAGTGAGGTCCTGGAATCTCAAGCCAGACCGAAAGAAGGCAAGTCCCAGCATCCCCCAAGGGAGCAACCCAGGTTGAAACCGAGCTCAGAGCCGGGGCCGGGGCTGCTGGGACTGCAGGTCCCACAGACCAATGAGGCGGTCAGCCTCCCTCCAGCCAGACAGCAGGGCCCCATGCGTTGTAGAGTAAAACGTCCGATGTGTGGCTTCCCCTGCAAACAGGATCTGGAGCTGCAGAAAAGGGTCAGGGTTGGATGCAATTGAGACAGCTGACACAGAAACAGAAAACAGAGCCCCATGCTCACTACTCACTCCCAAGACTGGCAGGAGACCTCATGCCTGGACTGTGCATGTATGAATAGCACCTGGAGAAACCAAGCTGTGAGGCAGTAAACAGTGACCTCACCAGAACTGCTGAGTCCCCCAGGAGGATGAGGAAAGACTCCAGAGCTAGGCAGACAGAGAAGTAGACAAAAGCTAGAGCCTATGAGCTGGGCAGAAGTTGACCAATAAGTGACTTGGCCAATAAACAAGCTGAAAAAAGATCATAAGATGACTGGAAAACTGAATGGTGAGTACTGGATGCTGCTCAAGAGTGTTTCTTTTTTAGTGTGGTAATAGTACAGCTACATATGTTTGCTGGGCTTTTTGTTGTGGTTATGGTTTTGTAGTGCTAGGATTAGAACCCAGGGCCTCGTGCACACCAGGCAAATGCTCTACACTGAGCTGCACCCGACCATACTTTTATTAAGAGTGTCCTTATTGTTTAGAGTTACACATAATATATGTGTGTATAACCATGCTCAGAAACCATGGGTCGGGAGGCTGCCGAGGACAGGGTAGGCCCCTGCAAGCTTCTGCCTACTTCTGTATACATTTGATGTTTTCCATAATTTTTTTATAGTTGTAGATGGACAGCATATCTCTATTTTATTTATTTTTATGTAGTGCTGAGGATTGAACCTAGTACCTCATAAATGCTAGGCAAGTGCTCTGCCACTGAGCTACAGCCCCAGCCCCTCCACAATTTTTTTTTTTTAAAGTGATAATATAAACATGTGCTTTACAGAGAGAGTAAATTTAGAGATCAAGTCAGCTGAGGGGCTGAGGATGTAGCTAGGGGTAGAGACTTGCCTAGCGTGCATGGGACTATGAGTTTATCCCTGCACCACAAAAAAGAATAAAAAAAAATTGTTTGGAAGAATAGTCTGGGTAGGGGATGAGTTGCCCATCAGCTACTTTTGTTTCACTTTGTTAGCCAGTATTGTAGAATTATGACTCTTGAAGCTATTTGCATATATAGTTTTGATATAACCAATGTACTTTTAAATTAACTTTTAATTTTGAAAAGAAAATGGCTGAGTCTGGAGGTCCAGCCCTACCCACCACTCACTCGTACTCCAGTGCCTCTGAGTCTTCACAGGGACTAGATCTGCAGTGGGATGCTGGTACCCCACCAGGGCCTGCCATCATACCTGGGTGCTGGAGTCATCCACAGGGAGAGGCTGGGCCAGCAGGTCTATGTCATCTCCAGTGCTGCCCACGGCCACGTAGCTGTAGGAACCCCGGGTGTATGGGGCACTGTGCCAGCAAGACCTCAGCACACTCTTAGGCGCAGGCAGCTGTGGGTTTCCTGAACCAGAGATGTAGCATGTCAACCTGGAGCCCTCAATCATGTGTCTGCAACTGGTATTCATTTTAAAGACTGAGGAATTTAAAGTGAAAGACACTGGCTAAGGAAAAACTGAGCCACCAAGTTCTTTCCTTCTTTCTTTTTCCTGGTGCTGGGGATGGAACCAGGGGTGCTTAATCTTCAGTCCTTTTCATTTTTTATTTTGAGACAGTCTTGCTAAGCAGCTGAGGCTGGCCTTGCTTGAACTTGCAATCCTCCTGCCACAGACTCTAGAGCTGCTGGGACTACAGAGCATGCACCACTGTGTCCAGCTTCAAGACTGTTCCTAAGAGGCTCTTCCCTTCTCAGCTGCTCTGCTGAATGCTGCAAACACAGCCAGGGCCAACAGGCAACACCACTGAGCCAAAGGCCCTGCTAACCAACTGACCCTTGGCTGCCTGAGCAACTTTTCTGAGCCTCAGCTTCTTCACCTGAAAGTCTCTGTTAAAGGACAAACAGCATTTATTTTGGTGGCAGATTTTAGAAAAAAAGAAGTAGTAAGTGTTTATAAAGGCATTTTAGCTCCTCCATGATAAGAATGTTATTGACTCCACCAGGAGGAGCAAGGGCTGTCCTGGAAATGCACAGAGCTGATTTAGTTCTCTGTTCTGAAATGTAAACTTCCTGCCTACAGATTACCCAACAGCACAAGGCAGTAAATCTGCTCTGGCGAGTTAAGCACCTGTCACTCTCCGGAGCACTTGAGTTAGAGAGAGAAGTACTTCTTCATCAGACAGAGTCTCCATAAACTCAGACTCCAAGCCAGCAATGAAGCCGCAGAGCACGTGCACAGACCTGCTGGAAAGAGACCATAGAAGAAACACAGCTAGACCAGCTCTGCTGTCCCTCTGTAAGGACCCACACTCTGTGGGCCCCACCACACCCACACAGTGTCCCAGAGCTTTCCAGGACAGCGCTCTAAGGGTCCGAACAACTGCATAACACCAAGATGATGTTTGCTGCTCCGGCCATCATTTGCAAACATGTGCACTGGCAGTGACGTGACTCGAGATGAGGGGCGCCGTGAGCATGGCCATACACATGTGCAGTAAACAGTGCTGACTATGCTGGCTTCACTCGGGGTCCTCACCAAGAGACTTTTCTGAGATTGGTGGTGACAGGGTTTCACGGGTGCTAGGCAAGCCTTCTACCATTGTGCCACGTGCCCGGCCCCAAACTTTTTCTTATTATATAACAAAATGTGTCAACATTTGGAAGATTGCAAGAACCAATATTTTCTGAATGACCAAAATCAGAGATAGGTGAAGGATCCATTCAAAGTGCCAGACAGACGAATGGACTTCAGTGGAACAAAGTGCAAAGTCCCTGGATATGGCCTCAGACTCCACGCCTGGCCCTCAAGAACCACCACATGTTGAGTGGTACAGCTGTCTGAAAGCTGTGTCTCACTACTCCCTCCTTCCAGCTGCAAGTCTGTGTAGCTCGGCCCTCTTCCTGTCCACCAAAACAAAACACTGCTGCAGGGTAAACCTGCAGCAACTCTGGGGCCAGACTCCAAGAGATCTGCAGACAAGCAAACTCCACCACCCTTCTCATCAAATTTGTTTGAGAAATATAGTTATTTTTAATTGTGAAATGCTACTAATGCTATGGAATAGGTTTATTACTGTCATCTTAAATAAGACATACCTTTAAATTTCTGAGTTTCAGTTTCTCACATGGTAAGTGCAGACATGATCCCCATAGATGAAAGCTCTTGAGATCCTCACCACTTTATAAAGGGATCCTGGCCACAAGTCTGAGAGCCACACATCACCTGCCACACTGGTTTCCAAACTCTTGAAAGTAAGTTTTCTCTTCAATGAGAGGGGATAGTGGAAGGGCTGCTCAGAGGCCACGCCTCCTGCTCCCATCTGGGTCCCTAGTCTTTCATGCTGGAAATAAGGTCCTTGAGTATAATATAAACTTCTCTTTGCCACAAGACCACAGAACACTGCCTGTTCTGTCTCACCCTAAAAGTATGAGCCCCACCCTCTGATCATGCCTGGTGCTACTTCCTGAATTAGCACCAGCTAAATATGTTATGCTGCTGGACCATGAAGTCAAGCCTTCCCCTATGGTGCTTGATCCATTACTTATAAGTATTCAGTAACTGCATCCCCTTCAAGTATCATCTCTCCCCAAAAATGAACAGACCCATAATTCAAATTTCTTCTGCATCAACAAGTCCCAGTTTCCTACAGAATCCCAGTAAGTGCAATGGAATCAAACATTCCTTCAATCCACCAGCACATGCTGGCCCTTTGAGACACTGATAACCTGTGTGCAGTTAACCTCCATCTGTCCCTGCAGGAGTCAGGCCCAGGATGTCAGTAGTCAGCCCCTTGAAGGCTCATGGCCCCCCACCCACCCATTAAGCCCTCAGAAATGGCTGGCAGTGAGCCCCACGTGTTGTTTTCTCAAGCAGACAGACCTAGTGAATGGGCCAGCCTCCCTCAGAGCCCTTAGGACACAGACATACCCGAAGGGTGGCAGGACCAAGAAGCCAATGAGCTTCTTGAACCAAGCATCCTGCATTGAGGGAGCTGTGTCCTGAAGGGGTGATGTGTCCTCCCATACCACCTGGATGAGCTGGCAGTCGGGCTCCCAGAAGGGCTCCTCAAACTCCAGGAAGATTTTGTTGTTGGTCCCAAAGCCTATTTTCCTGATTGCTTCTGCTTTCTCAGCAGGCAGTGGAGGATCAAAGAAGGTATTCTGTTGTTCTTTGAGAAAACCTGGAATTCAGAATTAGACATGATTCACACCACATAGTTCTGAAACTAGAATTTGTGCCAACAAGATCCCAGCCTGAATGACAGTGAGGCATCTAAACATGCCACATGTTCATTCAGGACCCTGGGGACACAGAGATGAGGCTGGCCCTGCCCACTGGGACTCTAAAGGAATACTACAGGCCCAGTGGCCACCACTGGTCATGTGGAGCACTTTGCATGAGGGAACCCACACACTGCTTTGCAGGAAAGCTCATTCCTGAGCCTTCTGTCTCTCCACTCTACAAGCCATGTGGCTTGAGATCAGTTAAACATATAG